TATATATATATGACATTTCAAAAGTTCAAGATTGGGACTTTAACTCGTAAAGCTTTAACTATGATTGTATAAAAACCATAAAAGATATCAAAATGTCAATTCAGTAAAGTCCAACTTTCTGTGACCTGTTTAAACTTTAAATCATGTTTCTACTGTGATGTATGTATTGTACAGCTTGAAAGAGTGCTGGGTTTTCTCATCTTTTCCCACAGACATCCTATTGATCTACATAATTTTTGTTCTAGCTGTTTTTTAGCTTATTTTGTCTACTCTGTGCGACAGAAGTGGTCAGGTTTGTTGGGTTCTTTAGTTCAAAAAGATCTGCCAGATTCTCTCTGTGGAAAAGCAACTTCAGATTATAGCCTTCATTAATGTGTATTGGACTACATAGTTGTTTACAACAGAGGAAGTGCGCTGAGTACAGGTTATCGAGAAAAGGTGATGTAAGTGCTTTCCAGGAAAGAATTCTTGGAAGCTCTCCAATGTGCGTGTATTTGAGAAGCTCTCACGAATCTTGGCTAAGGTTTGATCTGAAGATGTGCAGAGAAGGTATATAATCTTTGCAAAGTGAGAGAGCTGTTATAACCTGAAAGGGAAAAGAAATGTTCATGAAATCTAAATTTAGAACATGTTTGAAAGAGCGGTGCAGCTCAATCCAAGGAGTCAGATTGTGGAATAATTTGGAAGATGATGTTAAACTTGCCAAATCAATGTACATGTTTAAGAGAATGATAAAGGCTAGATTGTTAAAATATATATATGAAACAGTTGAATGTGTAGCCATTCAATTTGTTGTTCTAGAAAGATTTGATGTTTTTGTTTTGTTAATGGAAGATTATTATTGTTTGAATTTATACTTGAGAAAAAAGGGGCAGATAAGATTTTTTTTCTTCTATCTACCGCCTTTCATTTCATTTTATTGTATATAGAATTAATTTTGTTTTTATGGAATAAGTAAAGTGAACTAATAAAAATAATAACCCACAAAACCCCTATTTTAGGGTTCTCGTTCTCTCATTGTTCTGTTACTGTTTTGACTGAGAGAAACATCACATCAATGAATGCCCTCAATAGCTGGCTATCAAAGACTTTCTGTGTGCTATTAAAGATTTCTGCTACTGCAACAGCACTTCCAAAAGTCCTAGCATGCTATTTCCAATGGAGAAGTGACAGTTAAACAGATGGTTTTACAGTCTGCTAACTGTTTTTACCTGGATGTGCTGAACGTGGCAGAAGAGCTGGCTCAGGACAAACAGAACTTCCTGGCTCGGCGCTGTCAGCACTTCCTCTTCAGTTTTCCACTCATTTAGTGTCTGAGGAGGATCTGTTGTGTTCTGAGGATCTGTGTACGTTTTAGGAACTTTGAGAGATGGATTTGGGTCTCTGGATGCTGATGGAGGAAGTAAAACTGAGACAGGAGCCTGTGAGTGAAGAGGCAGCTTGGTCTTTATAGAGCTCATCATTTCTCTCACAGCTTGAGCATACAGCCTCCCAACGTGGGCCCAGCCCTCAGCTGACAGCCAGTCAGAGCAGCTGGAGCCACAGAGCAGCTGAAGAACCCGAAGCAGCAAAACGGACATGCGGAGCTCACATGAAAACTGCCTCAGGTCCAGCAGGGGCAGGTAGTCCACGTACTCCAGAGAGATGGGGACGCTCAGGCGCTTTGAGTCAATCAGTTCCTTCAGGACCCTCAGCAGCCGGCTCCACTGGGAGGCAGAGCACCACGGGATGGTCTGTGTAAGCGTCACCAGCAGGCCCTTACTGAACATGCTGACGTGGTCCAGCCGGCGCTGGTCCAGAGACAGACCGGACAGCATGACAGACTGCAGGGAATCTGACACAGAGCAGCACTCCATCCAGGCTAAAAGACCTGTGCCCTGGCCATACTGAGCCAGCTCCAGGCCTGACCACTCCTGCAGAGGGGAAACATCACAGGATCATCAGGAATTAGACAAAAATTAAAGAATCAAATCAAATCAAATCACCTGTCATTCATTCTGGTCTCTAGTTACATTTACAGGCAAGTTTATCCTCACTGCTCAGGAACACTGAGCTTTAATTCTGTTTTTTGGACACGTGTTCCTGAACAGATTAACTTGGATACAAAAATTATTTTTTAAATAAATTTATTAAAATTACTATGAAAAACTTAGTCTATGTTTTTTATTAAGAAAACCAATTCTATTTTAAAAATAAGATCAAGATTTCCTGATGCATGTC